TCATTATTCAGTTAGGATGGACCACCCTGTAAAGGCCAACACCTAGTTTCACAGAGCCAAAGTGTCCTTTAGAGAGAGGTGTCCTCTTACCAGAGATTTGCTACAGTAGAACCTCCCTGTAAAGGCCAACACCTAGTTACAGAGCCAAAGTGTCCTTTAGGGAGAGATGTCCTCTTACCAGAGAGTTTCTACAATAGGACCTTCCTGTAAAGGGCAACATCTAGTTTCACAGAGTCAAAGTGTCATTTAGGGAGAGATATCCTCTTACCAGAGAGTTACTACAGTAGAACTACCTCTCTATAAAGGACAACACCTAGTTGCCAAACCATAGTGTCCTTTATAGAGGGGTGTCCTCTTTCTAGAGAATTGCTATATCGGTAAAGATGGTAATTTTGGTTATGAAGATGACCTTTGTTAGAACTGTGGATAGAGAAGCACAAGGTAATAAGACCAATTCTATAAAAATAAAGGTCTTTCCCGTCAAAATAGACGTCAAAGCTAGAAGCCATCTATTGATGGTAACTAGCGGCCTCGTGTCGATGTCAAAGTCTCAACATCAAATTTGGCAAACTGAGAAGCGTCCACTTGGAGACCGTGGTTTCAGGCTAATGGCCGTCGGCAGCCTAGGGTGATCTTTCCTTTGGACGGACTTGTCCTATGTAGAGAGGTGTCTTTTAGCGGGAGTATCCTCTTGTAGAGGTTCTACTGTATTTGGAACAGACAAAATTTAGGTCTTAAATACGGATTGGTCTCAGTCAATCTCAAAACCAGACACAGATTATTCCATCAGATATGAGCCATGCTATTTAACATTACCAAGTTTTTCTTCTGAGGTTCGTGTGACGCTGGTGTAATGGTATCATTCAAGATTCCCATTCTTGCGATCCAGGTTCAATTCCCGGGCGAAGCAGTTGTTTTATTACCTCCCACGTGGTCTAGTGGCTATGATTACCTGTCCCAAGATGCCCGGGTTCGATTCCCGGCATGGGAACTTTATTTTAGAATCGAAAATCATTCACTTTGGTTAGTAGCCAGTAAAACCATATTTTCTCTTTCTGTGGATCGAAATCCACATTAGGTATTCTTTTATTTCTCTCTGAAGAAGAAAAAAAATGCTTTTCAATAATCCCCCTCGATTCTTGTACAACTCCAACCCCACCAGTGAAAGCAAGTAACCAAACGGGAGCTCTGGCATATTTGTAAGTGCAAATGTTGAATTGCTTTCCACTTTTTAAATATGTAAAATTTGCAGTAAAAAGTCGCGCAACTACCCATCATGATTATCATATCCATGTTTACTAAAGATGATGATGATAATAATAATAATAATAATAGAAACAGTTATAATCAACGGGCTTCTAAAACCCTTGTAAGTGCAAAAGTTGAACTGTTATCCACATATGTAGACATGTGGTGTACTTACAGTAAAAGCAGTCGCCAACAACTACCCACCATGATTATCATGGCCTTGTACAACATGTACTAAGGATAATAATAAAATAAACAGTTATAACAAACGGGCCTCTTACACAATTGAAGGTGCAAAAGTTGAACTGTTCTCCACATATGTAGACATGTGGTGTACTTACAGTAAAACCAGTCGCCAACAACTACCCTCTATGATTATCATGGCCTGTACAACATGTACTAAGGATAATAATAAAAGAAACAGTTATAACCAACCGGGGCCTCTTACACGCTTGAAGGTGCAAAAGTTGAACTGTTATCCACATATGTAAATATGTGGTGCACTTACAGTAAAAACAGTCACCAACTACCCATCATGATTATCATGGCCTTGTACAACATGTACTAAGGATAATAATAAAAGAAACAGTTATAACTAACGGGCCTCTTACACAATTGAAGGTGCAAAAGTTGAACTGTTATCCACATATGTAGACATGTGGTGTACTTACAGTAAAACCAGTCGCCAACTACCCATGATTATCATGGCCTTGTACAACATGTACTAAGGATAATAATAAAAGAAACAGTTATAACCAACGGGGGCCTTTAACACACTTGTAAGTGCAAAAGTTGAACTGTCATCCACATATGTAGATATGTGGTGCACTTACAGTAAAACCAGTCGCCAACTACCCATCATGATTATCATGGTCTTGTACAACATGTGCTAAGTATAATAATAAAAGAAGAAACAGTTTTAACCAACGGGGGCTTCTAAAACTCTTGTAAGTGCAAAAGTTGAACTGTCATCCACATATGTAGACATGTGGTGTACTTACAGTAAAAACAGTCGCCAACAACTACCCACCATGATTATCATGGCCTTGTACAACATGTACTAAGGATAATAATAAAAGAAACAGTTATAACCAACGGGCCTCTGACACACTTGAAGGTGCAAAAGTTGAACTGTTATCCACATATGTAGATATGAAAAAAATGAAAGAAAAAAATAAAAGATAAAAAAAGATCAGGTGTAGAAACCAAAAATAAAAATGGCATATACTGACCAGGAGCACATGTGCTTTACAGAAGGCAGAACGCCATCTGGTGGAACAGAAATCAACTAATCATTGATTTAGCCTGTTCCCTGATATTTGCCACATGTGCTCCTGTTCAGGATATGCCATTTTTATTTTTGATATGTAAATATGTGGTGCACTTACAGTAAGATCAGTCGCCAATACCCTCCATGATTATCATGGCTATCATGGCCACGTGTACTGGGTAAAGAAAGACACGCAAAGTCACGGTGGGATGTAAGACGATAAGTTTGGATGCTGAGAACCAGTTGTGGCCGAATTCCAGGAGTCCTTGAATTGAGACATTGACCAACGTGACCTTGTAGGTATGACCTTGATCTTGACACGCCCACCACGTGACCCAAGGGCGTCCTTGTATGTCCAAGCCTTTGATGTGTGTGTGTCCCCACGTGTCAGATCTTTGGCGCCAATACACGCCGTAATGGGCAGTATTAGAATCACCGTATCTTTGATGGTAAGAATATATAAAAAGGTAACAAGCGACCAAATTCAAATTATTGAAATTTAATGTAATCAGTGACGTTTCAACAATTTCATTGTTATCATTATTAAAGTACTGATAAAGTACAATTTGGATTATATATTGTAATCAAAAGATAACAAGTCTAAAGCCAAATGATTGAAATGTTTGTGATGTTTCAGTAACAACGCTGTTAACATTAAATTACGGGTAAGGTACAATATGGATTATCGATTGTAATCAAAAGATAACAAGACTAAATCCAAATGATTGAAATATTTTGTGATGTTTCAGTAACAACGCTGTTAGCGTTAAAGTACTGATTTTAGGTACAATGTGGATTATAGATTGTAATCAAAAGATAACAAGACCAAATCCAAATGATTGAAATGTTTGTGACGTTTCAGTAACAACGCTGTTAGCATTAAAGTACTGATTTTAGGTACAATATGGATTATAGATTGTATTCAAAAGGTAACAAGACCAAATCCAAATGATTGAAATGTTTGTGACGTTTCAGTAACAACGCTGTTAGCATTAAAGTACTGATTTTAGGTACAATATGGATTATAGATTGTATTCAAAAGGTAACAAGACTAAATCCAAATGATTGTAATATTTGTGACGTTTCAGTAACAGCGCTGTTAGGATTAAAATACTGATTTTAGGTACAATATGGATTTTAGATTAGAATCAAAAGGTAACAAGACCAAAACCTAATGATTGAAATGTTTGTGCTGTTTCAGTAACAACGCTGTTAGTTTTAAAGTACTGATTTCAGGTACAATGTGGATTATAGATTGTAATTAAAAGGTAACAAGACTAAATTATTGAAATGTGTGTGATTTTTCGATAACAGCATTGTTACCATTATCAGACAACATGATTTTTTAGCGGATGTACCCGGCTTCGCCCGGGTTTTACCCGAGTAAAGGTTTGTCTAACGAATCTCTCGATAAAGTGAACATTTTTTCCCCGGTCCCTTGAAAAATACTCGATAAGTTGAATAAAATCAATATTAATTGGTTCCCTCGGTGATTGGAAGTTAAAGGAATAGTATCTTGCCTTGGAATTGTATTATTATTCTTGTCTCAAATAAATTGCCGTGTCATCCTGAATTTTGTCTTTCCTAATTTTCTACATTACAAAATCATCGTATCATCATGATAATATTTAGAGCAGATTGTTGAATTATAACAGATAAATTAGAATATTTATCTTTATTATTTTTAGGCGAAAAGTTATTTCAAAAATTTTATTTGCTAGAAACCTTCCCAGTACTATACTAAATAACTTCCCAAAGTTTCATGGCGTTCCAATGAGTGGTTCGGTCAGGCATAAAGGACACACACACACATACATTCATTTATATACTAGCGGATGTACCCGGCTTCGCCCGTGTTTTACCCGAGTAAAGGTTTGTCTAACGAATCTCTCGATAAAGTGAACATTTTTTCCCGGTCCCTTGAAAAATACTCGATAAGTTGAATAAAATCAATATTAATCGGTACCCGAGTAAAGGTCTGTCTAACGAACATTTGTTAAAACAATTCTCTATAAACTTATAAAAAGAAATAGATATATTTTGATAATTTGAAACTGATAAAGTGATCATTTTTTCCCGGTCCCTGTGTGCCGTGTCATTCTGAATTTTGTCTTTCCTAATTTTCTACATTACAAAATCATCGTTTTATCTAGTGAACATTTTTTCCCGGTCCCTTGAAAAATACTCGATAAGGTTGAATAAATTCATGGTCGTTTATGGAAGATGGACGAAGTTCCCGGAGGTCATCTTGGGCAAGCTACCGCGAGGCTTTTTTTCTTGTCTACTTGGCATAGCTGTGTCACCAACTCTGCCCTGATTGGTCGGTGGGTACTTGGACTGTCGGCCGGCGGCCGGGCGAATCCATTCTCTCACGGGGTGGGGCAGACCCAAGGTCATCAGGAGCAGCAAACCTAAGCCTATCTCCGTCTCAATGGTGGCGCTGCTTGCGAGTTAAAGCTACAAATCTGCAAATAACTCTAAGGATATTAAAGATATTCAAGATATTATTTTTCGTAAACCTTTCCGGGGATATGCCTAATAATATCCCAAATTTTCACGGCGATTGGATGTATGGTTTTTGAATCCATAGAGGACACACACACACACACACACAGACAGACATTCAATTTTATATATAGATATATAGATGCTACACATTGTACGTTATTAAACAGGACCTTTGGGAGAGGCTCTATATTCAGAGAAAAATATATGTAACCCAGGTAACTCCTGGAGCGGATCCATAGATCGCCAACTACCCGGGCTGTCCTGTGGTTTAGGAGTTTGTCTTGGTATCCTTAGTGAACCAGTTCACCAAGTGTCTCAAATCCGCTTTTGCCGGTCCCAAGCCCGGATGAAAAAGGAGGAGGGGGAGCAGTAACAAGCTCACTAAAAAACCTGGGTTCAGCTGGCCCGGCTGATAGTACCCTGTAAGGGCTCCTAATCCAGGGATACAGGATGAGCAGCGTTTGTACTCCATGTTAGGAGCGGCTGCACATGGCGTCTGTTCCTCATGTCAGAGGCGGCCATTTCTTTTGGAGCTAAGTCGGACTGCCACTGAGTAGTGCTCCCAGTCTTAATGACAAAGGCAGACGCATTCTGCTTCACCGAGCCAAGTCTCAAGCTTTACAAGCTTGATGCCCTAATATGATTGAGTTGAGATAAGAAAGAAGAAGAAGACCAAGTGTCTCAGTTTACAGGTGTTACATTCGAGTCACCTTGTCCTGGTTATTTACATATGGAGAGTTGGTGGAGTAGAGACCTTGCAGCTGTTGGAGCTCCTAACCAAGCGTCAGGTCGTCGTGGATTGATATCTCCTTTATTTTGTCTTGTATAGTTTGATTTGATGGTAGTTGAAGGTATAATTTCTTAACAGAAATTTGGTACATATCTTCTAGATTGGGTTGGTTCAAATTCTCCTTCAGTATCTTGTTTGATAGGTTGAATGGAGCTCCTATACTTGTCTGAAGGCA